TTGTTTGGCATTCGAATCTTCACATCTCCTGTACCTCTTAATCAATTTCTGAGGGTAGTCGTTGTTTATCAACATCGTATTGAGGATCAGAAATTTTTCCTATAATTTCTCTGTAGCGCATATTTTTTCGGCTACGTAAAATGGAGTTTTGCCCAGTGCTCGTTAATAGCTATTTCGAGCCAGTTAAATAGGCCTTACAATCAGGCTTGTTTATCATCGGATTTCCGAACATCATCCAGCGTGGTTAAGTGAGGTACAATCAAAGTCCATTCATAGCTCTATACAGTCTCATCTTGTAGATACAGAACACAAAGTTGATGTAAACAAGGCCTTCAAAGTCATCTACCGTATACCAACTAATCCTGATTTTACCTCAAGAGTTCGTCTATTACGTATTGCTGAGGCCGTTGTGATCCGCATTAAGAAGTCTAACCTATGTGTTCAAAAGAAATTGGTTCAGACGCTTTCCTTACCTTGGCCATCAAGGTTATAATGGTCCTTAATCGCTTGTAGAAATTTACTTAATTTTGTTTGATATTCTACTCACCATTACATTTTTATGTTTATTACAACCTGTGTGTCTTTCTTGAAATGTAATTTCATTGATCTTAAAAATCGGTATTATTTTAAAAACCATTATTATAGTGAAAGCATTCACTCAGACATTTAGAAGACAAAAGAAAATGTTTTAGCAGATATATTCATGTCCAACCTTGAAAGAACAAAGTTGAAGCATGCAATCGACGAAACAACTTCCTACTGTCGATATGTTGATGACACATTTATAGTGTGCAAAATGAAAGTCATGCTTCACACTTACTAAGATTATTCAAGGATGCACACGCCAATATTGAGTTCACTATGGAACATGAAAGTGACAGAAAGTTCCACTTCCTTGACATCGCCATGGAACGCCTAGAAGACGGTAGTCTTCAAAAGTCAATTTATCGAAAGGCCACATGGAAAGAACAATACTTACATTTTAATAGCTTTTGTCCAAATAGCTTTAAACGTGGTCTAGTCAAGACCCTGTACTATAGAGCGAGAAGAATATGCTCTATAGAGAAATTATAGCGAAAGCATTCACTCAGACATTTAGAAGACAAAAGAAAATGTGAGCAAAGAATATTCTTTTCGATAACTTCATCATCAGATTCTACAGTTATATATACATAATAGTAAATGAATTAGTGACATTAAAAAAAAATGTTGTTCAGATAACATCAAATCAATAATAATGATAATTGATTAAAAATGTCCATTAAAATTTTCAAAAGAATAGACACGGAACAAACAGTACTCTTTACGATAAATTCATCATCCGGTTCTACAATTATATATACATTATAATGAATGAATGAATTAGTCTTATGAACGACATTAATGTTTAAATAAAATCAAATCAATAATATTGATAAATTGCAGCTGAACAGCATCAACATAAAATAAACTGAATGTCAGAAGAATTAGGAAAGGTAATGGTACAAATTCATGAGTTTATAGTCTCTAATGAGGGCCAGGGCAGTAGTAGGGCCTGGACTTGTTTATTTTGGACACAGAGCGCTGGTTGTTTGAGGCGAATTGCAATAGCCTCTGGTGTTTGGAGCAAGCGGTTTGGTAGTTTGTTAGGCACCCGGTATATTATGGAGAAGGATTCGTCTACGCTGGCTTTGTGACCGGTTTGCACCAAATGGTCTAATATCGAGCTGTTAATAGTTTTAACTACACCTTTACTTAGCCATAGTGGGATATGTTCTCGAGCACGAAAAATCAAGTTCCTAGAGCAACGGCCAACATAACTCGCCCCACAATCGCAGTTGAATTGATAAATACAATTTGAAGTGGCCAGTCTAGGTACTTCATCTTTCAGTCGAGGTAGCACCATCGGTCTTGTAGAGAATAAGATGTGTAGTTCTCCAGCATTAAAAGTCCTTTGAACTGATTTTCTTAATTTCTTTGTAATTAACTCACTTGGTATATCGCCCATGAACTGCAGTTGTATATAAAGTGGCTTCTTTTTTACAGATAGCGGGTAGTCCTTTTCGGCCTTCTTTGTCATATGTTTCTTGATAAATTTGTCAGGATAACCATTTTCGATTAAAGTATCATATACCATGCTTAATTCATCTTTAATTACTTTTTCAGAGCATATAGCTCTAACTCTGTGGCTAAGGGTCTTCACCAAATTCCTTTTGTATTTGATGGGAACGAAGCTATGAAAGTGTGGATATTGTCCCGTCCAAGTACTTTTTCTATGGAAATTTCTTTTTATGCTACCGTCTGGTTTTCTTGTAAGTAGGACACCCAGGAAGGCAATTCTGTCTTGGGATTCCTCTTCGCATGTGAATTTCATAGCCGAATGTACTTCATTGAATTCAGTAATTATTGTACTCTTATCAGAACCATTATCACAAAGAATAAAGGTATCATCCATATATCGGCAATAAAAGGAGAGCTTACCGATAAGGTTGTTCAGAGGTCCATTTTCTAGCTTACTTAGAAAGAAATCAGCCAGAATTGGACCCAATGGGGAGCCCATTGCCACCCCGTCCACTTACCTGTAAAGCGTGCCGTCAAATTTGAAGTTTGCATTCATGGTACATCTTAATATCAATTCTTTTAGGATTTCAATATGGATTCCAATGTTTATCGACTGCTTGTCCACTTGTTCACATATATAATTAACTTTCTATTAGAGGTACATTTGTGAATAACGATGTTATGTCCAGAGATATCATGGTTTTGTCCTTGATTTTAACATCTTTTATTTTGTCTACGACTTCAAATACATCTTTGACGCTATATTTCACTATCTTCTCATGCAATGTTTTGAGAATATTTACTAACCATCAAGCTAGAACATGGTGAGGCGAATTTTGCATATCAAGTGTTGGTCTTAACGGTACCCCTGGTTTATGAAATTTAGGTAGGCCATGCAATGGATAACAGTCCCATAGCATCAAGATAACAATACACTGAATATCAGAAAAATTAGGAAAATTAATACTACAAATTCATACTATATTGTTGTCTATTTCAAGCCCTGTAGTTCTCTCGAGAAAGCTTTGGTGAATGTCAAAGATATGGCTCCCAAAATGTCACAAAACAATTGTGCCTATTGGATAGTGTTCAGAATGTGAAGCTTCCTATATAGAGGAGAGCAGTAGACAGATGAAGGTCAGGGTGAATGAACATAAACTGTGGCCTAAACATCCACCTAGAAATGAAGTAGAATTAACAAGTCTAGGAAAAAGATCAGCTATAGCAATGCATGCGATAGACAGTGGATATAAGATTGATTTCGACAATGTCGAAATTCTTGGAAGAGGATTTCATTCACATAAAGAAAGGTTGATCTTGCACATTTTGACCACATCGATCGAATGCAGTAAATAGGAGAGAAGGGATAGATTCAGCACTTATATGGAAAACTCTAATGAGGCAAGACAGATGGGAGAAAAACAAAAGCCTCTGTAAAAATATTATCATACTTATCACATGTGAATTGACGTCTTTTCCATATGACAAATAACATACACTCATACAGACAAATATGCACATATGACAGTTTGACATTAGTCATTACAGATATATGATGACTGCTTACATTATTCTATTGGTACAAATGTCTACCGACAAGTAACCTTCAAATGGACTGACTTCGACTACATAGTTTGATGATTATTAAAACCCGAATAATTCTGCTGAAGAAGCTGTGGCTTGCAAAGCGAAACGTTCATAAACCTTTTGTTTGGACTGTTTCTTAAACACGCTGGGATTATTTTAAATGGCTGACTGACTGACTGGTTTCAACGTAGAACTTTGCACAGATGTGCAGCAGTTCGGGTTGCATCTCTCCCTGCATGTAGCACACAAAGGAAGAGAAGAGGGTAGGGGAAAATTCAAAAACAGAGTTAATAAACAGAAACATGAGGCAAAAAGAATAGTAATAAGGAAGAACAATTTAGTTTAATTGGATAAGTCACAAGGAGTGGATGCATCTGTGCCAGCCATTGAGAACGATTTTGAGCCATATCTATCACCAATTGTCTCCAGACATTTGCTTTGTCATCCCGAGAACCTTAACAAAGAAAATAGACAGTTTCTGGTAGAAATCACCCTCTCTCTAGAGTGGAGAGACAGCACAGCTAGTATGCTGACCATCTGAGGGAAACATTACTGATGTTACATCCCTATTCCCCAGCAGCACAACTTCACCCACAGACCCCCAGCATAGTGTAAAAAACCTTACACTATGTCGGTAACTGCTTTTAGTCTAATCACTATCGTAACTATCTTCCTGAAGAAACACTAGTCCCAGCGAGTGTGGCTTTTTGGGTCACTGCGATATGCAAGCCCGACCACCACGTCAAAGTACCAGATATCCGTTGGGATTATTTTAAATAATTTATAATGGTTCAATCCGACATGGCGTTCAAATTATTCCAGGAAATTCGTAACATCTATGGTCTGGAAACTTATAAGGAAAAATGTATAGATCACATAAGTTAAATAACTAACCAGTCGTCGTCTAAACTAAACAGTTCATCGTAAGCCTTAGTCTTATATTCAAGGACACATTGTATATCTTTAGAAATTCAAGAATATTAACAGCTAGCTAGAGTTGTGTGAAACGATTAACTCTCTAATGCCCATATGAGCCTATTTAAAAAGATATATACGCTGAAAATTGGAACTAGTCATTTACCACTTATCGTTTATACAACCCGATAACTCATCAAATATTTACACCCTAAATTATTGTTGAATGTAATTATAGTCCACAACGCGAATAAGCTGAAACTAGTCTTCGCTAAAATGGTGAGTGCTAGGCTCACAATCAAAATGACCTGTGCGGCCTAAAGCTGTCTCAAGCAGATGCACGCAAAAGGACACTTTGATCTCAGGATGATCACCTTCCTTTATTCTGCTCATAACCAGGTGGATAAAACAATCAACCAAACATCGCTACACAACGTATCGCTAACCGTAAAACAGGTGTGCAACCAAGTACTTCAAACACCCATCTTTCAAAAAATGAACGGTGATCTAAAAATGCACTTCATTCAATGGAGTTGAGACAACCAAGTAATGTCTTTACGTAGAAAACACTAGATGCGACTTACACCTCGGCATATGAACGAGTACAAGAATTCTGAGTTACGCTACTATTCACTCATGATGATTGACCTGAATAATAAGAAATACCTTTCTTAAGAGTGGATGACGACTTTAAAATCATTGCAAATGAGAATTAAAAACCAACTCACTTGCAGTGACCTTAATAGAACACAATCAGCATGTTTACAGAACGGCCTACTTTCAAGAGAACCACCGTTGCTCCGTTCTGAAGGTGATGCTCCTAAAACTGCATCGGTTTCCTTCTGACATGAAAGAGTCGGAGATGACGTTGGTGATAAAAACAATGGGGAGATGTTATTTGTTGACTCCACTTTAGACTCAAGATCTATGACATTTCTTAACCAATGTGCAACCTTTTGACAAAATTCTACTGAATTTTCAACAGTGTGATTCATTGAAGTGAAAATTTGTGAAAGACATTCCTCTAATTCATTAAACTGGTTTGACTGTAAACTCAATGTAGAATTGACTGACAAATGACCAGATAAGTGTGCTCCTCGTTTTCTGGATTGTTTCAAGTGTCTTTTACCTGCTAGATGACAATCAAGCTGTTTCTTAGAAGAGCAGTTAAGACCACACAGTTCACAAAAGTAGGTTGTATCGTTGTTTCCAGTAGATCGTTGCTCCATACGGGTCTGTCCAGATGTTTGACTTTCAGAAGACGTTCCACTGCAGTGAGACGCATATTGCTCAGAAGAGTTGGAGTTTGTATTCCATTCCTGACAAAAAGGTGCATCTACAAATGGACTAATAATACGAAGTTATAAGCTTACTAAGAATGAACTTTCTTTTGTGACTTGACCCCATTACATGTTGCAGAAAGGGCATCTTACCGGTACACTTCACGTTGCATACCTTGCAAGTGTAAAATTCACCAAATTGAGTGTATTCTATTTTGCAAAGACTGGTAATTTGACTGAGACCCATATCTATCAGAGTGGTACTCTGCGTAGTGTCCTCTGACGAAGTACACAATTGTTCTTCAGGTGCTGCTGGTACAGTAGACGGCATATGCATTTCTATAAACAGTTTAGTGACTCGGATGTTAAGTTAGAAAATATAATGATAGAATTTGGATACTGTTGTAGAGTATAAATCCATCATAGAATAATTTTACTTGGTAGAAACAGTTATAAAACAAATATTGTTGTTTCACTGAATGTGAGTGCGTACTGCTGCACAGTACACATGCTCCGATAGACAACCGGACATCTCGTCCACGCCACGGATGACGTCAATTGGCAAATGCCACAAGAACTTTCTGTATCCGAGCTAAGATTTCGTCAGAAATCAGTACATTAGTGCTGATGCATATGACCAACGCACCTGTGAAACTTCGATTTTTATGCAACTTCTATTTCATAAACAGGCTTAGTATGGCGTTTACTCTCATCTCCGGGTCAATTTCCCACCGTTTCATCTAGTAACAATCGAATAATCCATTAGCATATAACAAGACAAATCACAACATTCGACAAAATATATAGATATATTCGTGTATACCATTTAAAGGATGCCTTCCGCTTACATGTTTTGTCTGTCACTTCTTGAAACCCAAGCTAACGTCTGTTTCCACGGCTGAAGCTAGGTGAATTTACATTAGGTTGCAAAATGTCTGATAAAAACAGGCTACTCAGAAATACATGGATTTCTTTGTTCACGACTTAGGTTGCTACCGAAGCTTACTATAATGCTGAATTAAATCTCACTAATTCTGAAATAATTATAACATTCCATAGTGAGTAAATTCTGAAATGGATTCTTTATTGGCACGGACTAGAACTCAGTGCTGGTTTTCAGCATGACTGGGACTAATTCAGCACCGCGTTCTTTTTCTAGTCATTTTCAGGAGTAAATCAGAACCTACTGGGTTTGCTTATCAGCGTTGTTCCAGCACTCACAGGACATATTAAGCACTGACTAGCGTTACTTCAGAACGAAAAGACTTGATTTAGCACCCATCTATCTTTCTAGGCACGACTAGCGTTATTTCAGATCATAGTGGGTAGATAAAATCTTCCTTTGTTTGAAAGTATGATTCCAGTTGGTAAGAGTAACCCTTCAGCATTTTAGAAGAGGCAGCAAGCTGGGAAGTTGATTGTTATTCAGAATGAAAGCATTGGCAGGATGCATATGGCCTACTTCGTTGCAAATAAACAAGTTGAATTATACCACAAATTCCCAGATGTGTGTCACTTCACATATACTCCAGGCTATATCAAATGTGCATCTTTCAATCAACCATCCGTTGTACTCTGACTTCTTACTTTTTTCATGCTTGTAACTTTTTTGGTGCGTTTCTTAGTTTGCCTATGCCTACGGTGTGTACATAATTCTAAAGAAAACTCTGAATAAATTTTCATACGACCAATGATTTTACTTTTCTTATACTAATCCGGGAAACCTTTTGTTGAAACGAATAGATGAATATATAGTAACGTAGTGTGTTCCGTGGTTGTGAATTGTAGGCACTTTGTCTTTGATTAATATCATGCGGATAATTGTATAAACCTATGGACATAGTTTTAGCCTGATACTGTTACAACAGAAGACAAGGGCCAGGCAGCAAATCGTTTATTTACGAAATCAACAGATATTTATAGATTTTCACGTACATTATTATAGATTATTTTAAGGAAACAAACACAGTCTTTTGATTGATGGTTTCTCGCTGAACGTTAATCTTTAATCTTCCTGTGACCGTTTCTTGAAGTTCAGATTATCTATCTGCAAATTGTATCCGCCTACGCAAAGTCTGCTGTGATTAGTTATTGAATCAGTCTTTGTTCTTATTTTTCTCATGACCAATATTGGGGACATAAACATTGACGTAAATTACTGTCTACCAACTCTGGCTAGTAGCCAGCTCTCACCACAATACTACATCGCGACGTGTTGAAATCAGGACCACACCGTCTACAGTAGATTCATTTTTACTTTGTGAGTAACCGTGAATTTTAATTCATCTGAAGTTTTATGGTACTAGGATAGCCAACTCTTCATTTTCCTGTTGATGTGGACATATTTACTTTCTTAGGCGACAAGATGATCTTTTCGGCAGAGAAAATTCGTGGCGATTCAAAAGCAACATTGTGTTGCTCAGCTTGCCTTCAGCTGAAAGTAATTAAATTAGCCAATGTATTTATAGGCAATCCGTCATAGGACTATGCAGCGTACGTTGATCATGTCTGAATGCATTAGACGCCGTATGTCTGGTTAAACTGTGCATTTAACCAAGCAGACTCGTGAGTAATGAATTTTCGCAAATTAGATTCAGAGTTTACGGCATATCTTTGGGGCCAATCCGCGTACACTCCCCACCATGCTCACTCCAGTCACCTACACAAAAGATATTTTTATGTCCTGCAGGCCATCATGCGACGGAAATTTCGTCATCAGACTTATCTAATGAATCAGAATCTAAATAAATCCTCTGTACAGTACAGTCGTTTACTCTGAATTGCATACTTTGCTCACATTCACTGTGCTTACGTGTGGTACACACTTAAGACTGATACACAATGTGATGAGTTCTGTAAGGCATACTATTTTCATGGTTAAAGGAAGATGAACACATCGGAGAGATTAAGATGACTTCGTTAAAGTTCGTTGTCTCTTATTGGCTGCATACCACCGTAAGTAATTTGATATCAATATGGCGAATATTCAAGTATGGCGCCTACTGAACATAAAGATGATGGATAATAATTGGTGTCATTTGATTCAGTAGCATATTAGAGGGGAATGAAAATTGTTTTTCAGCTCAGTATCAGGCAAGTAGTATAAATCTGATGATGCCATTTCACTTCGCAGTAAACACTGCTTTGAGAATCGACAAGAATTCCCGGGGCAAGTTACATCCCCACGAATCAGGTGTGCATCGGCAGGGGGTCGAACCCCGGACCATGTGCATGGTTGACGAGAGTCCTAACCGCTGGAGCGGTCTACTACAAGGCAGCCTGAGAGTGTTCCAGAAGAATCTAAAGATTGTATTTCGTTTAAGGGTGCTCCTAACCTAGCTTATTGCAGCAAAATGAAGGATACAACCATCGAGGAGTGAAGACAAACTGTTGGAAAGCCAAATGTTTGCCTCAAATTAGGCCATATTGCAAGATATTGCCTTTCAAGAAGTATATGAAGTGCTGATAGATGCAAGTAGCATCATCACACAGTGCTATATTGGGAGAACAGTAATAAGGCCGTTAGTTCAGTAATAATCTCGCAGGCGAGAGGAACTCCGGGAAGGTACTCCCGGCTTAGTTATCGAGAAATTCTTTCAATCGAAGGAGAGCCTGGAAAAATAGACACTGTCTGAAGAGAAAAACTGATAAATTCGGCCGGGTTAGAACGATGATAGCGGTTCTGACCTAAGTCTTGAGACAAATGGGCAAAAACTAGCCAGGCTGAACTCAGCCGTAGATCTTGGTATCAGAAACTCTAGTAATTTAACGTTCTCTAAACAGACTGATTATACTAGAAGTAAAACACACAGGCTCCTAGGATGCACAACTCGCAATTTCTTTTATTTTGAAACTAGGCTTTTGTTACACAAAGTATGTGTCCAACCTATTTTAGAATACTCCCCATTTATTCTTAGATGACAAGCTTAATTTAGAGGGAGTGCAATGGCAATTCACTTTAACAGCTCCTGACATAAATTGTGGTCTCAACTAGGCTGAGCGTCGCAACAGACTGAAAATCGAACCACTCAGGATGGGAAGTCTTGAGCTAAAACTCATTTTCTACTATAACTTAACTAATCTTCTCTTGCACTCCTCTAGGCGGAAAACTAAATCTACCTATCTCATCAGTCCTAATCCTGGAAATCATGAAAACCTGGTACTTATAGGGCACTGACAGGCATACATGTGATCCAAGGTCTTCTTAAATAGGTTTTCAGTCATTTGAAATATACTACTGTGGTGAGAGCTGTCTACTAGCCAAATTGGTAGACAGTAATTTACGTCAATGTTTACGTTCTCAAGATTTGTCGTGAGAAAATATGAACAAAGACTGATTCAAAACCGACCACAGCAGACTTTGCGTAGGCGGATACAGTTGACACATAGATGATCTGACATTCAAGAAACAGTCACAAAGAGATGAAACATTAACTTTAAGTGAGAAACAACCAATCAGAAGACTGTGTTTGTTTGCTTAACTAAACTATAATAATGTACATGAAAATATATAAATATGCTTTGATTTCCTTAACAAACGATCTGTTGCCTGGCCCTTGTCTTCTGTCGTTACACTACCAGCTCATGTGCGTAATGCAAACACACTTCCAGTGTTCATCTCCTCAGTCACCAAACTCTTCAAAGGTGACAGTGATCCACTCCATCTGACTCCCACGCCTTCGTTTTCAAAACACATAGATACTCCTGGTTCATTGAATCTATGACCAACAATGAGCCTCACTAACAAGCGTTAATGTTACCGAAACAACATGATAAACATTTCTGGGCATGGTATAAATGTTACTCCACACATATGATGTACAAGTTAGTAAAACAGAACCAGTTAGTCAGTGTATCAACAGGAATAATGGTTTCTATACAAATATTAACATACAGATGAAAAATTTACAGATCAATCCTTGGGGACCACTCGTGCTTATCTCCTGGATGCGGTTCTCGGGATGACAAAGCAAATGTCTGGAGACAATTGGTGATAGATATGGCTCAAAATCGTTCTCAATGGCTGGCACAGATGCATCCACTCCTTGTGACTTATCCAATTAAACTAAGTTGTTCTTCCTTATTACTATTCTTTTTGCCTCATGTTTCTGTTTATTAACTCTGTTTTTGAATTTTCCCCTACCCTCTTCTCTTCCTTTGTGTGCTACATGCAGGGAGAGATGCAACCCGAACTGCTGCACATCTGTGCAAAGTTCTACGTTGAAACCAGTCAGTCAGTCAGCCATTTAAAATAATCCCAGCGTGTTTAAGAAACAGTCCAAACAAAAGGTTTATGAACGTTTCGCTTTGCAAGCCACAGCTTCTTCAGCAGAATTA